ACAGTTCGAACTCAAAAGCGATTGGACAGTTGAAAACGTTCCCTCGTAAGTCGAAAAAATTTTCTTACTATATTAACTTATAGAGCAAAAACTACCCTACAAAATATACAATTGAAATTTATTTGAAAAACCAATGTTTCAATGAATAAAACTAAAAACAACTATTTTTTATGTTTGAAAGTCACAACACATTTCAATAGGGTAATATCATTCGATCATTTTTTAAATGAGAAGCTTTATATTAAATATGCTAATGAAATTTTGTAGAGAATTAAGAGAAAAATCTTTTGAGATTAGACAGAAATCTTTACGATGAAATTTAGCCGAGAAATGTATGATATATAAATTGTGCTATTATTCATTTTTTGCTCTTTGTGAATATTGTATTATTTAGAATAAATGTTCATCGTTTATTGGCTCAATATTCAATTAATATAAATTCAAATTATATTGATATTCATATATTAAAACGTGCTGCAAGAAAATTACTTAAACAATATAATTTTGAATTACATGATTTTCCTAATTTAGCAATGCATGAAAAAATAACTTTTCTTAAAACACTTTTTGTAAGAAAATATTTAGATAGAAAAAATAATTGTGATGATGAAGATGATCAATCATGGAATGAACAAATTAAAGTATGTATTCAAATAGAACATTTCAAATCTTCATCAATCATTCGTATCGACGGAATTCCTACTCACAATAGAAGAAGTTGAGTCTTCTATTAAGTCAGGACATCGGAGTCTTGCTGAGTTAAATTTCTTAATTCCGAAAATTTTCAAAAGAAAATCGAAACCATTTCGAAAGAAAATGTTAGAGTTTTCAAAGTTCAGAAATAAATTTTTTTCAGCTTTAACATCCTAAAACCTGAGCATAGTTTCATGTAGATATACTTATTAAACAACTGTTTATGTAAAGCACATCGACCATTTGAAATATTATGATAGATTTTAATCCTCATATGTTTATTGTGAAAACAAAAAAAAAAAAATCTTAAATTACGAAATTCTAATTTTTTTGAATTGTGATTTTTTTTTTTCGAAGGAATTAATACATGACAATCATGATTTACAAATAAAATTAATTGATTTATTTGTTGATTATACTGATCTTGATTCTGGTGTTGAATGGGCTCGTTTTTATAATCTTGAAGATTTTGAAATTCCTGAACAAATACGAACTCATCGTCAAAATATTCTCAAAGATGATACAACAATCATTCGATCAACATCTATGAAATCATCAACTTGTTTAATTAAACAAATAAAAGATAATATCTATAAACCAACTGTTCTTCTATCAGATATTGTTTATATTGAACTTGATACTGATGTTGATCCATTTTTGAATCGATTAGAAGTTTGTATTCTTACGAAATATATTATTTTGATTGTTTTTTTTTAATTAAATCTTTTTATTTTTAAAAAGTGTGCTCGTTGTAATGTTGGTTCACATTTACCATTTGTTGGTTTTGATTGTGAAACATTTATGGATCCAACACAACGAACACTTAATTCTCAAATAATATCAACAATTCAATTAGCAAGTTTATTATTATCACGTAATCAATATTTATATGGCATATTTGATATGCTTGCATTACGTTTACAATTTGATATAAAATCTTTAGCTGAATTAGCTCAACGTCTTTTTTGTTCACGAGATTTTATTCTTCTTAGTTAGTTTTTACATTACAAACAAAAATTTGTTCAATTTTTTTTTTTTTCTATTGTATTGTTTTCTTTTTTTTTAAGCATATAATTATGCTTGTGATACATCATCACTTATTGAAAATTATCCATCAATGAATGATGCACTTATGCAAGGTACAGCTGTTATTGATTTATTTCGTGTACAACAATATGTAAGTTTTGCGGATGGCAAAAATTTCATCACTAGGACCAGTGGCGTAGCCAGAAATTTTTGAATCATGGGCAATTCATTAGCCCAACTATTTTGAGTTACGGGCAGCTAAGGGCAACCGTTACGATTTCAAAAATATCTATGGGCAATAACTGTTCAAGCACTGCATAGCTCAATAAATCCATGGGCAATAACTTTTGAAGCTATGGGCAATTGCCCAATGGCCCTACCCCTGGCTACGCCACTAACTAGAACTCTCGGCAATAATTGTAAGAATATATACACAGTACTGTTCAAAACTATAAGAACAATATATGTTTGATTTTTTTTTCTATCACACTGAGTACCTACTTCAAATGCAGCTAGTGATTTGAATACACAACTATTCAAATCACTAGATACATTTAAGCTAAGTACTTAGTGCGATAGAAGAATAAAACAAACATATACTGTTCTTATAATTTTGAACAGTACTGTATAAACATAACTTATACGAATTCATATAATTGATATGAATCGTTTTAATTCATATGTTTCTTATTTTTATAATATTTTATATTTCTATCAATTATATTAAATAGATTCTTGAACATTGTCCACAAGTATTTCCATATTATGATGCATTACTAAATTCAAAATCACGTGGTTTAAGTGAATTAGTTCGTCTTTGTTTTGGTAAACCACTTGATAAATCTATGCAAACAAGTGATTGGCGAAAACGACCACTTAAACCAGCACAACTTATTTATAGTGGTTAGTTATAAGAAAAAAACGAAAATTATCAAATTATTCTTTCTTTTTTATTTTATTTTATTTTATATTAAATTGTTTAGTATTAGATGCTCAAGTTCTTGTTGATATTGCATTATTAATTGAAAAACGTACACATAGTTTACAAATTCCATGGTCATGGTCAAATTTTAAAGGTTATATATGGACAAATAAAGCATTTAAAAAACGTGTTGGTATGAATCAAAAAATAGAGAATAGTTAAAAGACATTTGTGTTTATATATAATTTTTGATAGAAATAGATATTTAGATATTATTGTTGAAAACAGTTTTTTTTTCTTGTCATTGTTGTAATATATAACTTTTCTGTTTCTTTTTTTTAGATTAATTATTTTTATCATGTTTAGTGCACCTGTAACAGCTATTAAAATTCTTCCTAATTCTCGAATATGTTTAGCTGGTAAAATAAATAAATGCTCTTTTGTTTTGTTTTTTCTTAAATTAATTTAATTAGGTACTGGTCCTTATGTACTTGCTTTTGATTTGACAACAAATCATCAATTATTACAAGAGAAAATCTTAGTTGATTCAATTGTACATGGTTTTGAAGCTCGTGAGAATAAGAATATATTATTTTATTAGTTTTCTTTTGAATATAATCGGAATATTTTTGTTTTTCTAAAGGACAAATAGCAAAAGATACTGATCATTCTTCATATATAATTGTTGTCTTTGGGCAACGAACATTTTCGATCATTCAATGGTCTTCAACATCGTAAGTTAATTAAGAGTTTTATTCAATATCTGTATTGAATAAATAGTGTCCTTTCAAATAAATATTATTTGTTTGTTAGTCGTTCTTCATTAACAACAATGATACCTCAAATACAATGCCCTTCCTGGATAATAAGTGCTCTTATTGTTGAAGTAGATCCTTTAATTCAAGTACTGATATAAATTCAAGTTGTTTTTTTTTTTTTTTATATCTAATTTATTATTTTTTAGTCTTTAACAGTTCTATTTGGTACAGCATTAAATCAAATATATCGTTATAATAAATCATTAGAATTGATTCAATCATTTAAATATACAACACTTTATTCATCATGTCTTTTTCATCATATGAATGAAACTGTTATATTTGCAGCTGGTACAGTTTTTGGTCAATTAATTTTATATGAACAAGATTCAAATGATAGTTTTCATGAAAAATCAAATGTTTCACATCATAATGTAAATTTAAACAAAAAACATAGAAGAAGAAAACAAAAAAATATTAAAATTTTCTTTTTCAGGGTGCTATATTTGGAATATCATATTATGAAAATTTTCTTTGTACAGTTGGTGATGATCGTACAGTAAAATTATATAAATTTCATAATAATCTTGAATTATTAGCTTCATTTGTTGCTCATGAAGCACGTATATGGCAATCATGTTTAACTTCAACACATATTTTAACATGTGGTGAAGATTCTTCTATACGTTTATGGTCACATAAATCAACAGGTGAAATATTACGTTGTTTTTCTGTACATCGATGTAAAAGTGTTTGGTGTATGGATATATTAAGAGATAATGATAATAATAAACCATTAATTATAATTAGTGGTTGGAGTGATGGTGGTGTACGTCGTTATCATCTTGATGATGTACCTATTGATACACAGGAAAGTATTATATTAAATAATATACTTCAAAATGATTTTCCTCGAAATATAATTTTTTTAAATTCTATTATAATGATTGTTCAAATGAATAGTGGACAATTATTTAAAGTCGATCAACAAAATATAACATTATTTTATGATGGTAGAAATATATTAAAAAATGGTTATGTTAAAATGAATGTTGCGAATGATGGAAATCAATATCTTGCTATTGGATCATTAAATGGTTATGTACTTATATTTGATCAATATGGAAATATAATAAATGAATTTCAAATAGATATTAATAGAAATAATAAAATTTTACAAATGTTATGGTTAAATAATACATTATCATCGAAATTACTTGTTTGTATTCCAGATGGAATTATGGTAAATAAGAGTTTAAAACTTTTTCCTACCAAAAAATAATTTTGTTAGTACGATTCCTTGAAGGATCAAAGTATCGAACTCACAAACTCATGCTATTATAAATTGATGGTATATTGATAGAGATTTTAACTATCAATTTATTTAATATGTTTATACTGAAAAAACTTATTTGTATTGTCAGATACATCTTCAATAGATTACTTCATTTCTTCTAATGTTAATATATACAAGAGGATTTGTCATATATCATTTTTGTTCTTCATTCTGTTGGTTCAACCATCATATTAACCAGCTAAAAACATTGATTTAGCCGTTCAGTAAGCTTCACAACATTCTATGCTTTCTGTCGACAGACTTTGGCATATACTGTTTATTTTTGCATAAACTTACAAGCGAACAGCTTCCGCTGTTCTCATTCCAATTTCAATAACTTTTTGCCTATAGATACAACATGATGTTTTTATAAAAATCGTAAAATGATTTGGGCTCCTGTCGATATTTGACTTAGCTATTGAGTTTTTAATGTTTATTTTCTAGAGATCATAGGTTCTCGGAAAACTTGTATTTTTTGTATTTTGCTCTGAAACTGTATACATAAAGAGAACTCAATCAGACTAGCTTCCATAAAAATTCAAAGGTTTTGAACAGGGAATTTTTCAAGGAAGCTAGTTCAATTAAGCTCTCTACATGTACAAAGTTTGAGATCAAAATTTGATATTTCAATCAAATATCAATAGATTCTCAAATTCTTTTAGAATTTTTATTTTAGAACGTTATGTAGTATCAATCAGCAAAACAAACCACTGAAATCAGAAGGGAACATGTGACAAGGTGCCCTTAGTTAAAATTCAATGAACTCATACTTTCTAAATCCGTTCTATCCTCACTCTACTAGTTCAGTAATACTACCGCTCTTATGATTGATACCTATAATAAAGTTTTTTTTACTGCGTCAAATATCAAAATTCACAATATTAAGAGTAGTTAGAATCTGTAAATTTTCAGAATAATCTAAGCACTATTATTATTTACGTGCCTTTTCACATTGCTAAGGAAACATATCCAATAATCTTTGACCTTTCTTCTCTCAGTCCTGCGTGCTAGAGTCTAAGAGAGAATCTCGATTCAAATTTATTCTCACTATTTTCTTTGAACATATACGTGACTTTCACAAAACTAAAAAGAAAATTCCCCAAGAGATGTTACACTGCTTTTATTGTTTCTAAGGAAATAACTTTTGTATGTCTTCATCTCATTTTGCCATATTGTGTTTATGTATAGAATATCTTTTTGTTTCTTATGTTTCTTCTCGTTATGCACTAATTTCTATCATTCTTCTATTAGTAATCTCATATGAATACCTGTAATTATGTAATTTCCTTTTCTATACTATTCTTATATTTATATATAGGTCGTAATTCAAAAAATAACGAAGCGTCAACCGGATTGAGATGATTCTTTTTCTTCTAATACTTGAAAAAAAAATTGAATATACTCGATACTGATAGAACTAAAATTATCCTATTTTACATTTAATAGTTTTTGTAAATGCTGTAATGTCTGGGCTAATTATTGGCCTAACAATTGCATCTTCTTTACGAAGATTTTACAGACATTTCGTTGCAATAGCATCCATAGTGAGAATTCTTTTTTTTCTCAGTTTCTAACGTTACTTCAAGTAAATAGATTAAGTTTTCGATTACTATTCTGTGCTGCATGTTTATGCACATTACCTATAAGTACCGATGGTATATCTCAGCAGTCAACTACCGATCGGAGAATAGCACTCACAAGATAGTCGACCGTTTAAGAATTAAATTACTGCCGTTTTTTTTTTTTATTCAGTTTGAATTACATGAAATTTAAATTCTACTTTATTAATAATGAAGTTTTTGTTTGTTCTATATTTAGTTTGTTTACAATATAACTAATCGACCTGCAACAGTAGATCATTATTTAGAAGTTTTACCTGATTTTGAACAACGTTGGCCAAATACATGTGTATATCATGATCAATATAATTTATTACTTATTGGTGATCGACAAGGAAATATTCTTTCATATGATTTAAATAATCAATTAAATTGTTCAATATATCAAAAATTTGAACGTTTACATGGTATAAATGGTACATCATCCATTGATATTGATAAAAATACAAATCTTATACGTTCATGTGGTCGTGATGGTTATATAAATATATTTTCTATAGATAATGAACAACGAATATTAATTCATCAATCAACATTTACAATAACATCAGATATAACATGGCTCGATCAATTTATAAAATATCCATCATTAATAACATGTTTTACAACAAATAATTTTTCTTTATATACATTAGATGAACAAACAAAACGACGTTTAATGCATGTTGAATGTGGTGGTGGTCATCGTAATCATGATTTTTTTATTGATAGAAATCTCAATGCTTATTTTGTTTATATAAGAAATAAACAAGTTTATTTAGCAAAGAAAAATTTAATGAGAATATTAAGTGAAGCAACATGTTTATCAATGATACCACCGACACATGGAACAGAAATTCGTTGTGCTAAATTATTCCAAATTAATCATCGTTTATATATGATTACTGGGAGTGAAGATACACAAATTAAATTATTTTCATTTCAGGTATGATAAATATGAAATTTAATCGATAGATTTTTCATTTGATAAATGAAAAAGAAACGAAAATTTTACTGAGGAAAAATCAACTAATTGGTTTATTAACAATGCCATTTTAAAGAGAACAGAATAAAAGGCTACCACATTCTCTACAACTTTCTCTTCAAAAGTTAAAAGTATATTAAAAAAAACGCCTTTTCTCGATTTTTGTGATGCATTGTAAGTTTTTAAAGAAAGATCATAGACAATGCGGTGACTCCTTATTTTGTTGTCGTTAAAGAAACTATATCTACATTTGAGCTAGATGCTTAACATTATCGAAAAAAAATCAAAAGTACGTTTCTATTAAACTTTTATTCGCCAGCTTATATTTCATGTAACATATGATGGAAAATCCACTATTTCAAAGTCAGAATTCTCATTTTTATCAACTGAAGCCTAGAAAATATAACAGAAAAATTTCAATTGAGACAGATGCGAAAATTAGTGTTAGAATTGAAATATCATTATAATAAAAACCTTAATATTAAAATAAAAGATTCAAAAATGGAGATTATACTAGGGAACTGCGGAACCACGTTTTTTTGGTTCCGATCCCGGCCCCGGCTGATATTTTTTTTAGTCCCGGTCCCGTTTTCTTCATAGCGAAGATAAAAAAATTTTTTAAGAAACCTATTACGGTGTCGCACATAAGTGTGCGCCATGTAATGTGTATATTTCTGATTCTGCTCTTATAAATCATCTAAATAGTCTATTATCTGTCTATATGTGAATATTGTAAACATGTTAATGTTAATAGATATTTGAAAACATCAGTTTTTGTTTTTTTTTATGAAATAATAAAAGAAATTATTGATCATCAATCGACTTGAAAAGGTAATTGAGTTCTTTTTTTTATTGAAAATAATTTTTCGGAACCAGCTAAAAAATGGTTTCAGTCCCGGTCCCGTAAAAAATAATTTTTGGTCCCGAAATTGGTCCCACGGGACCAGGATCGGGACCGGGACCATCTTGCAGTTCCCTAGATTATATACTCAGTGAAATAAAAATGTGAGAGCTGTACTTAATGAAAGCAGTTTCCAGTCATAAGGATTAGGATGAAAAAATATATATAACTTCATTTCCGAAAGATATAAGCATAAGCTCAATACCTTACGTATTCTTCTTCTCATGTCTTGTATTTTTAAATTTCTTAAAGGTGTGACACTTTTGATAAATTACCAACAAATTAAAGTTTATCGATTCTTCAAATTAAAATCTTTATTTTAGATAGAAAAGTCTTATTCAAAATGTGAACATATTTCAACATTACAATCTCATTTATCAGCTGTTTGTGATATTATTGTAATTGATAATTTATTTTTTTCATGTGGTGCACGAGCACAAATTTTTGCTTGGCAAATGAAAAATAATATTGTTATTCGATCTGGTCATTTTATGCTTCATCCATTACGGCGACGTCATGGTGGCGGTGGTGGTGGAAATATTAATAATGATGAAAATAAAAACGATAATTATGATGACGATCATGGATTAGATGTTAGGTAAAAATAGGTGACAAACATTATTTCATGTTTTTTTAGTCATTCTATTTCTTCTAGATTTACTAGTATTGCAGCTATTCCTATGGTTGATATTGGTAATTATTTATTATTTGTAACTGCATCTGATGCTATATTACGGTAAGTATATAAATCTTATCTTAATTCAATGTAAAAGTCTTTTTTTTCTAGTATCTTTCGTTATACAAGTTCATCTAATCGTTTTACTTTACTTCAAACATCTACACATTCTGAATATTGTCAATTACGTGTAAAAGTTTATTCAAAACGTTATATTGCATTTGTTTCATCAACAGATGGTCTACTATGTGCATATGATTGTTTAACATTAGATAATACAATACGTTCAACATCGATTAAACTTCATCAATCAGGAATTAATGATTTCGATTTAATTGAAATAATTGATAATAATCTTCTTCGTTTAGCAAGTGTTGGTGATGATGGTTCTGTACATGTTTCTATTTTTGATATTAACAATTGGATTTGGAAACGAGAATATTCAAAAGATAATATTCATCAATCACCAGCAACAGGTAAAATAAGTAAAGTTGTGAGTCAATGTATGGATTGAGAATGCCGATGGTTGAGATTTTTTTTAATTGCGAGAAATCTTGAGAGGAAAATAAATTTAAAAAAAATCAATTATGTGTTTTTGTGTTGCGGTGAAGTTACTTAAGTATTGGCGGCGGCCTGATTGAATCGCTAGAGCGTTGTTAACGGCTCAACTGATCGGCTTACATCTTTAATAATTACCATTTGTATGACTTTCTCTCTTCTTTTTAAAGGTATTCGTTTTTTAAATCAAACTATGTTTGTTTCAATTGGTATTGATCAAAGACTTAAATTATGGACAATTAAAAATGATGAGCAAATATTAGAATTAACAAAAAATTATTTAGTTGATATTCGTGATATTCTTTCAATGGATATGATTTTTTGTGATGAAAAGAATGAATTTGTTATTGTTATAGTTGGTGCTGGTGTTCAAACAATTCAATTTGATTTAACAAATTGTTTGTTTTATTCATAGATCATTGATTTGTTTTTGTTTTTTTTTTCTAGATGTTGTTCTTTTGACAAAATCATTCTGAATGAAATGCATATTGGAATTTATCCCATGGAAAAAGGTGATCGTTCGTGGATGTCACCTTTTATTGGTCTTCGGAGTTGTTGCATCACTTATATTTCAACCATCGGGTAAATTTTGATATTGAAACTAGATAAAAATACTTGTAAAAATTGAATGTGTAATTTTGATTGAATCGCTTATTCAGATCTTCGCACGGCTATATATGACACATCAAATTATTTTTATTACATTGCTTATGGCCTACTCGTTTATTTATCACTTTTCTTTTATTTTATGACTTGTTATACTGACCCTGGTTATGTACCATATAGACGAGTATGACTAAATATTTTACATACTCAAAAAAAAACAAAAAATAATCAATTCTAATAATTCTAATTTACTAAAATAGATACCTAATTGGACTGGAGGACTGGTGTCAACATCGGACGATGATGAAGATGAAAATGAAAGGCAAGAACAACGGCCAGTAACGACTAGTAATAATTATTTACGCAAATGTCTTTTGTGCAATATTGAAGTAAAAAAAAATAATTAACTTTGAAAATAACAAGGAGTTTGTTTCACATCATTTGATTTTTCTCTAGCAACCTCTACGAAGCCATCATTGTGACTTTTGTAATCGATGTGTACTTAAATATGATCATCATGTAAAATTTTTCCTTTTTTTTTAAATAATTTTAAAATTATGAAATCTTTTTTTTTCTCTTAGTGTCCATATTTAGAAACATGTATTGGTGAATATAATCATCGTTATTTTTGGTGTTTTCTTCTTACAACAGATATACTTATTATATGGTCAATTATGTTATCCAGGTATAATTATTGAATTTATTACTTTTTCGTTTATTGCACTATTGTTTTATTGTTTAGTGGTTCATTTGTACCATTCAGTGATTGGTCATCATGGTTACATATAAATAAATTTCGTTTATTTGCTATGCATATTCTTATTATATCAGTATGTGCAACAACAATACTTTTATGTATTCATTCATTTTTTGCTTTAACTAATTCAACAACATGGGAACGTGTATCAAGACATCGTATAACATATTTAAATCGTTTACCAGATGAAGATCTTAATCCATTTCATCAAGGCTATTGTCATAATTTTTTTTATTCATTTTTATGTCATCGTATAAAAGAGCAACAATGGGATATTGTTTATAAAAAACGTGTCGAAGAACATGTTACTTTATATATGTAATTATATATATATGTATTATTACTTTATTGAAATAAACGAAGAACACATCATCAAGCTTATGATTAAAAATATCAAGCCATTTTCTTTAGTTATTTTGTACTTTTATGCATTTTGAGAGTTCAAAGCAAATATTATTGTTTTCATATGAGGAAAAAAAATATATTGAATTGTTTTTAAGCATACAGAATTTCATCAAACGACTTCTAAGATTTCGAAAAATAAAAAAGAATCATAAAGGGTGTTTCATAAGTTTCGACTCCCTTTTTGTTTTTGTCATAATTTTCTCATATTCCATCGTAGACTGATTTTGAAGATAGATTTTCGAAGAGCAGCATCTAAGCTTTCAAACAAAACAAAAATATATGCCATTGCCATGAATTGCACAGAAGAACAAGGTCAAACAAAATTTTGAAAAATTTTCAGGACATGCATTTTTTGCTTCTTGCCTATGAAGATTGTAAAAGAACAACAGCCATTCATTCATTCATGAGTCACGAGTGATCTATGCCGTTCTTTTCCTGTAGATCTGCATTCAAATGAGAGAACACTCATTAGTACGTGTATGTTGGTCAACAGCACTATAATGTCATGATTGAACTAATAAAATTCAGATCCGATTTACTGGATATTGCCATGAGCTGCAAAGTATCGATCGGGCTTTCGCACACGACAAATGAATAATCAAATGTTCTTCCAAATGGACAGAATAATACAAATAGCGATAAAATATAAAATCACTTTTCCGCAAAAAATGGTTGGAGTGCGTATTTGTTTTTTTGAATTCATGCGCGTATTTTTTTCTGAATATGTAATGAACGATAAGTAGATTGTTTTGTTTGGGAACCGTTATAGTGTGATACTAAAACAAGAACTAAATTGTTTTAAGCTTTCCTGACTTTTTCCGGAAGTGCTGCTTCAATTTGCAAGCAAATTTTCTATACCTAGATATTGATCATATTTTCAGAAAAAATTCTTATAATCAATTATTTTTAAAATAATAAATACAATTGAATTGATCGAGAAAGATAGATACATTGTATTGCGGAGGATATCAAAGTACCAATACATTAGTGCATTTAGAACGATCACAACAGTTCGTTTGTACTATTGAAGAGAAAGAAAAGAAATGTACTTATTTTTTTTAACGAAT